CGACCAGCCTGCTGCGATTGTTGTGAATCCATCACTGGGGTATGAGGCTGTATAACTGTTGTCTGAGAAGAAATATGATGCATGCAATGTTAATTCCTTTGTACAGCATGAAAAAACTTTGAAAAAAAATTGTTCCTGGGCAGGATGATGTACTGGACAGACTGGGGCAGGAAACCCAGAATAGAGTCAGCGTGGATGGATGGTCAGCACAGAGAGGTGCTGGTGAGGGAGGAAGACCTGGGCTGGCCTACTGGACTGGCTCTGGACTATCTGAATGGAAACAGAATCTACTGGTGTGACTCCAAAGAAAACATTATTGAGTCCATGAAGCCCGATGGCACAGACAGGAAGATCATCATTTCAGGAGGTCAGAACATTGAAATGTAGGGTAGTTACACCATTTGTCAGAACCAGATGCTTTATGGTCCTTGAAGGAAGTGTCTGTGATGTGATTTTCTGTTGGGAAGCCTTAAATTTAAGCATGAAATCATTATATTTCATAAAATCACTTTATTTTACAGGTCTCATTTAAACATTTAAATTGTTTACTCGAACCAAATTCTGTATGTACTGCACAAAAGACTTTTAAGTTCTACTTCTAGTCATGGTTGCACTGTTCCCATAAAGCTGCAAGACTTTATATTGAAGTTAAAAAAAGGCCAACAGGTGATGAAAGAGTGAAATGTGTTTTACTCTGTTGCAGACATCGGACATCCCTACAGTCTGGATGTCTTCGAGGGGCATGTGTACTGGACGACAAAAGAGAAAGGTGAAGTGTGGAAGACAAACAAGTTTGGGAGAGGAAATAAAGTCAAAGTTCTAACCATCAACCCGTGGCTGACACAAGTCCGCATTTACCAGGAGCACCGACACAACCAGTCAGGTCAGAACACAGGGGGGCTCATGTAATGTTTGTAAAGGTTTTACTTTTCTGTGTCTGATTAAACATCTAAAAAAAAAAATGAAGACACTCTCAAGTCTGATGTTTTAAATGGGCTGTATAAATAAAATCACGGTGACCTGACTTTATTTGAGATGATGTTTCACTGAAAATATCCCTTTTTATTGTGTCCTGGCACACAGGTATCTATATCAATGACATACAGACTGATGTGTAGTGGAAGCTTCTTCACGAAAAAGCAGAACGAGTGTCGTTTAAGCTGAACGTTTTATTTCCAAACCTGCTGCAGCGCAACAGAAAAGGAAGAACATCTATGATTCATCGAGCCGTTAACGTCTTTTAAAAAAGCTAGAGAGAAAAGCCACGTCACCCTGCATTAACCCTTCAAAACAAAAGCACATCCTGAGCAGCCCAAACAGGGTTTTCACAGTAAAATGTCAGTAAAGTCAATTTCTTCTAAAATGTTGTTTACTGTAAACACATCTGTAAATATTACTGTGAATATTGTAATTAACATATCGTAACCTCAAAATTTTGCAAGATAATGTTTTTTTCCCCTTTTATTTCATGAACAAATAAACATTTCACAACACAGACAACTTGATTCAGAATTAAGCAGAAATTTGACATTCCTTTAATGCAATCAAATCAAATATTTCATTCTAAAAAAGCAGCCTAAATGCTGCCCTAAAATGAACTGAAGCCATGAATAGTAACACCAATTTAAATCATTATATAAAGGAGACTACTATATCAGGACTGTAAAACATTTGCAGCCAGAAAACAAAGCGCTCAAAAAGTGTTTGAATTTACACAGAGACCAAATTTCTGCTATTTTGAATGCAGCTGCAAAAGCCTCCTGTTAGAGGGAGCTGCAAACATGACAGCTCTTCTATCTAATTGAATGTTTTGAGTGTTCTAATGATTTATAGATGAGGTGTCATCAAAAAATGTGCCTTGAAACGTGTTACCAGCTATTTGTTCACTTCAGTGTTGTTATTTGTACTGTGTCCTATTTAGTGCCCAACCCTTGTAAGAATGTGTGCAGCCACCTCTGTCTCCTCCGACCTGGTGGATACACCTGTGCCTGCCCTCAAGGCTCCTCGCCCGTCGAGTTCGACTCCAACGAATGTGATGCAGGTAAACAAGCACAACCGCACTGCATGTCCTGCCTGCAATCTTGTCATAACTGTGGCATTCATCAGTCTGTTCTCCTCACGTGCCTGGCTGCTCCTGTGTGGTTTTGTGAGACTGTGGTGTGATATCGTTTTGTTGTTTCTCCCTGTTTGATTCTCCGTATGCCTGGCTTTTTGCTCCTGCAGCCATTGAGGCGCCTGTTGCAATGCCCCTTGCATGTAGATGCATGAATGGTGGAACGTGCTACACAGATGAAGGGGGTCTACCCAAGTGCAAGTGAGTTTAGTTGCAGGTGCCATTTTTACCCGTGAAAGAATCAGTCATTCTCCATAATACTCCATGTGTTTTGTATTTCACCAGTTATTTTGTTTTCCCGTGTAAGTTCTTAAAGATTTGTTGTTGTGTGATATCGTGATTTTGTGTAGATGTCCTTATGGCTACATGGGCAGCTACTGTGAGATGGGGAAGTCAAGGGGCGCCCCAGCAGGAACAGGTACAGTTATTTAAATGTTAACATAAACTTTTTATTTAGTCTTTTTTTATAAAATGCATTTTCATAACATGTTAGGCTGAATGTATCCTCCATTAAAACTTGTGAGAATCCTTTGTACATACAACAGTGTTTAACATGTGGGAGCTGCTGACTTTGCTGCAGCAGATGGAGGCCAGACAGGATGCTTAGCTAACTAAGAGTTACTCAGGCTAAGAAAACAGTCTGGATCAGCATTTGCCGAAGATGTGAGGTGATCAAGATCACACGTTTTCTTAATAAATAGTCAAGTAAAGTTTAACTGCCGCAAACAGGCCATCTAGAAGTCATGACCTTTAATGGACTGCTTAGCCAAATATTATTAGAGGTGTTAATGATCTTCACTGGAGATGTCTCATAACCACTCAAGTGAATGTTTACCACTTCTCCTTTAGCTGTGGCTGTTCTACTGGCCGTCATTATCATCCTGATTACTGGAGCTTTGGCAGTCGGGGTTTTCCTCAATTACAAGCGAACAGGATCTTTCATCCCCTCAATGCCCAAACTACCCAGGTATCTGTCGCTTATATTCAAAATACATTTTGAGTCATTGAAACTGCACTGAAGCGTACAGTAGAATATTCAGATCAAAGTTCAGGTTGGAGTGCTTTGTTTTTGTCCAGCCTCAGCAGCCTGGTGAAGTCTGCTGACACTGGCAATGGGGTGACGTTTCGCTCTGGTGATAACGTGGATCTGGGACCATCACACATTGGAGTGTCATTCATTGACACGGCCATGCAGATGGTGAGTTCACGTGTCACTAAAAGTCACCAAAAGTGTGCTATCAGCAATTTTGTCATCCCACAGGACAATGGCTGTTTTCTGTAATTTGTGGTACTTATTGACACCTTTTAATATTAACAGCACCTCGAAACCTGCTTGCATGAGCAGCATTTGAGTAACCAGAGGTTAACAAATCACCAGTGCATCTGTCCAAGTTCAGTAGTATACGTAAACGCAATCTCACCAATAAAATATCCCCATAGGATGATAATTTTGCCATGGAGGCTGGTCGACAGCCAATCACATTTGAGAACCCGCTGTATGCCACTGCTCCTGTGTCAGGGGATCCTGCTGTCATTCATGCCACACAGGTACTCAAATGAATTCACGAATATTATTTTTTATGTCAGTAAGCAATGTATGAATTTATATATATTAAACACAGGACAAAGAATAAACTTGGACGACTGTCTGAGATTCTTAAAAGAACCGTTTATGATGAAAATGTTGTTTTAACGTTGAATAAAAGAAGAACGATCATTCCATGAACGATTTGAGCTCAGACTGCACCAGCAATTGATATTCAGTTCAATTTTATTTATAAAGCACCAAATCACAGCATAAGTCATCCCAGGGCATTTCACATAGTAAGATCCAGACCGTACAATATTGTATTATAGCAATGATTTGCTTTGTGGTGGAACCTCGATATGACATCTCACATCTTTACTTTGAAACAGGTGACTGTGAACGTGAGCGGTGAGCAGTTAGAGAACAACTTTGTGAACCCTGCGTACCGTGGAGATCAGAGCGTGGGCATCGTGAACACCACTACTGTCAGCACCAAACCTGTTCAGGTGAGCGTCCTACCTACAGTACGTCCACATATATCTCCTGCATGTAATCTAGATAGTGTGTTATCGCCTCACTGACTGTGTTTGTTTACAGGAGTCAAAGTGGAGCTTATTCAAACGAAAACTAAAGCCAAGCACCACTTTTGAAAACCCTTCATATTCAGAGGTAGGTTTGCATCCCAATGAAAATTGTCTTTGAAGCCACCAAACAGAAAGCTGAGATGTTACCGTTTGTCGTTGTTTTGCAGATGAAGGATGAGAAGCCCGTAGGAAGCAGCGGAGAGTCTTCTGCCCCTGAGCCCTCTCCATTCGTCCCCTCTGCCAAACCTCAGAAGAGGGATCGTCCCTGCACCTTTTCACCGACCGAGGACAGTTTCAAAGACACAGCCAACCTTGTCAAAGAGGACAGCGACGTATAACCCCCTCCCTCACAGACGGGAATCGAAAAAAAAAAAAGAAACACACTTTGCACAGAATTTATTTTTTTATGCAGCCTGTGTACAAAACTCAAATTGTTTTAGGACAGAGAAATACATTTCTATAGAATGAAGAGAAAGGTCTTCTGTGACTATGCCTTCTGACATTTCTTATGCCAATTCTTGTGTTAATGTTTGTTTTTCTTTATTCTGATGTACAATATGTATATCTTTGCACTGAAGCTGCTGATAGAAATGTTAATAAATATGTTGTATATTTGTAAATTTGAACAGTAAGATTTTGTCTGAAATAGATCCTAAATAGTTCAACATAAACACAATATAACACATATAAAAGGTGAGCTGCATTCTGAATGTACAGTACTTATATGATCAGAGGTTATTAGAGAAATGTGTTGGGTAAGGATTGTTTTTTTTTCTTTTTTTTTTTGCCACTGAACAAAACTGAAGATGTATTCATCTTGTATGTTTATATACCTCATTTCAGGGCTCACAAATTAAAGCCGAACAAAAAGAAATGTAAACACACGCCATTAATTTTTCAACAATATCTGCTCCATTATAAACAGAAGCATGAGCTACAATATGTGCACAAAGCATAATGATTGTACCTAATCATCTCTCCTGTATGTTTCCCAGCTGTGTGACTTTGAATCAACATGATCATTTTCTTTAGTGATGATATTGGAGGAAGTAATGGCAAGAATAGATCGGAACTTGAAGGTGCCTGTGCCCGTTGCATGGATATGTAGGTGATGATTATGAAGAACAACACACGACCTGAGGGTTAAGGCATTTTATAAACAAGGTGAATGAATTCTTAACAGATTTGATTTATTTTGTATCATAATGAGGACAAATAAAAGCTGTTATCTGTGATCATCCAGAGCATGATGCCCATATGGATTAAATTTCCGCTGCTGAGACATGAATGAATAAATTTCCTATTTTGTAACACAGTCTTGGTGCTTCATTTGTACGTTATTGTTCAGTTCATGTTCTTACACTTATCCACTGCTGACGGGGACAACAACACAATCACACTAACTGTTTCACAAGATGTCGCTGCTCAGATGTTTCTCTCATTTTTACAGGAAGGGAGAAGCACGCTGATTACAAAGTCTGCTACGAACGAAGGCAGGTAGGACAGAGGGATCCAGAAAAGTTTAGCGTCCCAGCCTGCTGAATAACGTGTGCGCGGGAACTGAGCCGTCAGCGCGTGCTCCATGCACCAGGTCACCTTAGAGATATCCGAACTGCACAAGATGCCCATAGAGAAGTCCTGAGCTTTCACATCTGACAGAGAAAACAAATGGAAGAGGTCATTTGTCGCATATATATTCGACAGCGTTGCGACACTCACTGCACTCATACTCACAGTCATTAAAGTATGTCGCTCCATATGAGTCTTTAACTTGTTGAGGGAGGCGGGTCCACAGCCTCTTCAGGTCAGAGTTAATCACCTCCACATTGGTCACATTTGTCTTGAAGAAACCGGGTTCAATGATGCTCACTTTGATCCCAAAGTGCCGCATGTCTCTCCTGAGTAGACAAAGCAGACATTGTGTTTCTTTAAAGCCAGTGATTTTTTTTTTTTTTAACGGAGTATTTCTCAAGCACACTTTGAGGCACTTTAACATCCATTCCCTTATTTCTATTTTCTGCTACTTTATACTTCCACTGTACTAGATTTCAGAGGACTTGGTCTGTAAGGTTTTACTTTAACGAAAATGTGTCATGTCCAAGAAGTTGTGTTAAGTTTAGTTTTTGTCTTGTGTCACTGTGTCATGGTTTCCTGTTTTATTTGGATATTTAACTTCCCTCTCGTTTCAGGTAACTTGCTCCTTCCCCTTGTGTTTCCCACTGGTCTGAGTGTCTGCCCTGCCCTGATTGTTTCCACCTGTTCCCCATTACCATGTGTGGGTATATATAGTCTGCGTCTCCCTTTGTCCTGTGCCAGTTCGTCTTGTCTTTTGAAGTCAGAGAACCTATGCCAGTCCATGCCACATTGTCTTGTCAAAGTCAGGTTTTTGTATTCTTTTGATACTTTGCTTTGTATTTACCACAGTCTTGCCTTATATTATTTTGATACTTTGTCTTGCCTTTTTCTACAGTTATAGTTTTTCCTCATAAGAGTGATTTTTTTGTTATGCAATATTCCAAGTAGATTTTCATCAGCGTTTTTGTTTTTCCTCCCAGTGAGTGATATTTAGTTGTGTACTTTTTCCTCTGTAAGAGCGATTTTCATTTGAAACTTTGTCATTAAAGATTATTAATTTGAACTTTGTCTCCCGAGTTGTGCATTTGGGTTCACGTCCTAGTTCGGTTGTGACAAAATGTGACTAGTTTGTGAAACACTGTGCATAACAAAGATTCAACCAGTGGTTGTGTCTACTTTGGGCCTCATGACAAGCTTCAGAGTTGTTTGCAGTTTCACTAAAGAGTAAAAACTAAAATTAATTCTGTTGCTGAATGTCATTTTTGTTTTTATTTATTTTTATTGAGTATTTTTATTTTCTGGCTGCAAGGTGGATCAGTCGTTAGTATTGTTGCCTCGCAGCAAGAAGGTCGCCGGTTTGCGTCCCGGTGAGGAGACCCGGGATCTTTCTGCGTGGAATTTGCATGTTCTCCCCGTGCAGTGTGGGTTCTCAGTTGTTTGAACCAAACATGACTGCTGCCTGTAAGCCACACTGCAGGGCCAGTAAACTTTAAGACTCTTTTATTCTGCTGACACCTCTACATCATGTCTCAATCCTAAGAAGACGTGTGATGAATCGGTTTCGCTACCTGAGGCTGTCGGAGAAGGCCTCCACTCCCCATTTGGACAGACAGTATCCTCCACCGATCAGGGACAGTCTGCCCACGATACTGGCCACGTTCACCACTCTGCCCTGAGCTTGCTTCAGGAGCGGCAGAAACTGGAGGGTCACATCAATGACTCCTGTCAGATTGACATCCAAAACTTTTGTGAAATCTTCTAATTGCATCCACTCTGCAGGGCCGACGGGCACTGACCTGCCTGCATTATTCACCAGCCCCCACAGACCTGCGGAGAGAAGCCAGGCAGGATGAATACCGGCAGAAATCGACTTCATTTGTCTCCTAGTTTTAATATCTGAACAAATTTAACTACTTGTAGCTCCAGGACAGATTAGCAAACAGGGTCAAAGGAGTCAGTGAACCCTGGCTTTATCCCAGAATTACCACAAGTCTGCCAAAAAGAGAGACACACACACAAATATTGTTGATTTTCCAAAAGGATGGAGTGATAATCAGCATCAGTATCAGAATAAATATCATATATATCTGTATAGCTTTGGTAAGGGTAGAGCTGCTGCACCACATTATGTTTTTATCAATCTGCAGACTTGATTCATGTCCAAAGAAGCTTTACTGGCTGTAAAATGTACTCTATGAGGTATGTTCTCCCTGCTATTTAAAAAAAGCGGGTGTGCTGAACACGTCTGTAGGAGGATGATGGGTTGATGATGGGACGGTGCAGGTTGCCTTTATCTCTCCCAGTGCTTCACTCTGACTGGCACCCTATCAGTGTGCACCCCCTGCCGTCCGGCCCGGCTCACCTCGCTCCCCGACCTCCCTGCTCACCGACTCCACCGCCCTGCCCACGCTCGCACTGTCTGTAACGTCCAGCAGGAGGGTCTTCAGCCTGGGGGAGGCGGCTGCAGCCAGATCTGCTGCACCTTTCTCTGAGAGACACGCGGCTATGACGTGGAAGCCTTTTCTATCCAGCTGTCTGGCCAGAAGGTTCCCAAAGCCGCTGTCACAGCCTGTGATGAACACATGCTTCTGATTGAAACCGTCAACCTTGTGGGAGTCTCTGTCGTACCAGAGGAAGGCAGCCAGGAAGGCTACAAGTGAAACACAGGAGAGGGCCGGATAGGACAGGACCACCTAGGACACCAAACATACAACAAGACTTGAACTTGACGTTTTTTTTTTTCTTCTCCCTCCTACAGTCGTCCTCAAATGTATTCTTCCATTAAAGAAAAGGCAAAATTCACACAAATCAATCAAATAAGTAGAAACTAAAAAAAGTAACAATAAATAAAAATTTGCTAAATTACAATTTAGTGAAATGAGACATTGCTTTTGAATTGTGGTTGAAAAGAATAATTTAAAAAAACAACAAACAAAACTGACAAATTAGAGCAATTTGCTGATGAGCAGTGAAATCCAAACACCTGTCAACAGGTGCAGAAGTCTGATTGAGAGTTACAGAAAACACTTGATTATGGTGATTGGCTCAAAGGGTTGTTCAACAAAACATTAGTTTACGGGTCCCGTCATGCTTGTTTGCTTTATATATATATTTCTGTTGAACCACAATTCAAAAGCAACGTCATGATTTTCATTACATTTTTATTTATTATTAATTTTGTCAGTTCCATCTTATTTCAGTGTCAACTGTTTTTTCCCTCTTTTATAGGAGGGTATGAATACATTTAAGGATGACTGTGTACACTCTGTAAAAGATTAATTAAAAAGAAAAAAAAGCAAATATTTAGTGCAATAATTCATGCAAACAGACATAAATCAGCTCACCTCTACGAAACCTGTTACTAGGCCAGCAGTTGTTACCTGCGAGGAGAAATTTGAGATCATTTTCTGCAGTTCAAAAACATTAAAGTCCCACAAATAAAAAGACAAAAGACCTAAGTAGATAAAGAGCAGCAATATTTCTACTCACAATGTGAAGCAATAAGCTCCATGTCTGCACTTTGTGCTCTGTTCTCTTAAACCCTCATCCTCGACGGTAGTAAGCAGCAGAGATAAAACCTGCTATCTGAGGCTTCATTGAAGTCCGCATAGTTGTTTTGTTACTCTTAGTGATAAGATAAAAGATCATCTGAGATGTGCCGGGCATTAAACAGCAACAAACACTTTTATATCTACTTCTCAGTATCAAATTCTACATGGTGCAGATTTTTTGGATGCATTTAACGAAATCACAACAGCAGGGGCATTTTCTTTTACTGCAGTGCCCCCTAGTAGATGTATCTGGACACAGCAGTGAGACACCCACACATCAGACATGGTGCTGGTAATAAAAACAACTTTTATTTTTTTAAACACATTCTTGTATTTTTACTTACAACAGAGCAAGCTGCATTAGAGCGCAGCTTTTACTGAAAGATTATAATACTTCCACCTCCATGCTGCTGTATAATAACATGTAAGAGATAAACCTGTTTGTGATTCTCCAAGCACTGAAAATTGACGTTATCAAAATTCAAAGAGAGTCACATTCATCCCAAGCAGATGAAACCAAACTATCATCATGTTGGTTAAAATACCAGGAGAGACAAATGAGGAAAAACAAATCTGCAATTTTGTGGAATGGATCCTTTAATTCAATTGTTTTCGCTCAACCACCAGATGGAATCGCATCTCAGTACGACAGTTTGTGCAAAAACCTACAAATCAGTCATTCAATTAGCTTCATCAACTCCTGTCAAGTCCCTGTGCTCATTATAACCACCAAAGCCAATGAATCAGCCAATACTAGCATTAGCACTGTAGTGTAATGTCTATAATAATAAAGATGATAATAATATTAATACAGACGTACCATGGTCACAGTTCTTTAGATGCAGCAGATTCTTCACTGTCAAGTATATTGAATAACTGAATGCAGAAGCAGCACGTAAGGATACAAAGTGTGTCTGCAGAGTCAAAGTCCATAGTCGATATGGTCCACCAGTGTGTGGTTGTGTAATACAGACTAAAACATAATGCATGACGCCTGGTTTTGATAGCTTCCTTCCCCTTTCACCTCAAATCCACTCTGACAACATCTCTGATCAAAGGTTACACAGCAGACTGTTATCAATGTCCGATATTTGCATGTTGACAATCGGAAGAGGACTCAGAAGAGAAGCGAAATCAATCAGAAGTGAGAGCTTTACAGACTAACACAGGTGGCAATGACAATGCAGATATTATGATAAGATGATATGACTGGAGAACTGAAGGTCAGCTGTCGTTCAGGATCAACACTAGACAAATAAGGCACACACGGCACCAGCTGGAATCAGATTTATTGTAATGAAAATAAAACACACCCAAGTAGCGTCCTTCCAATTGGCCCAAAATGTTTCTCCGCCAAGTGACACGAGAGAAACTACAGCTTGGATATTTTTGGTTTGGGGCCGTTTTTCAGAAACATTGTGTCCGACAGGAAGGTGGGCATGTAGGACAGCGGCAGCCAGAAGAACTTTGCGTCCCATCCAGGAGAGTAGCGAGTACGAGGACGGACAGCGGAGATGCCGTGCTCCATGCAGCCGACAACCTTCATCAGGTCTGAGTCCGTGAACTGGTTGAAGCGGTTATCCAGATGTTCAAAAGCTGAAAGACGAAAACCACAGAATGAATTTATAATTATGCCGTTTTGTCTGTCAGTCATCTGTGAAGCACTTTGAACTGCGCTAGTTTTTCTTTGCTTCCCTTTGTTGACAAGTGTAACGCCACGTTTACCAGATATAATAAAAAAAAAATTCTGCCATCAGGATTTTAACTGGAAATATAAAACCATTCACACATTCTCTCCGTCCAGCTTCCACATAAACATTCCCTGTTTCAGGTCAGACAGGATCACTGCTTTACTGTTTTTATGTTTGTGTTACAACATGTTTGTATGTCTCGACTATGCAAATACTTCCTGGATGATTTTCATGAAACTTGATAGGGAGGTGGAAACAAAACTTCCAAGGGCGTTAATACTTCACACAGGCAGACTATTTACTGTGTGTGAGAGTTTTAAGAATGTGAAAATACTCATTTAAACCTGTATTCACATTCCCTGTAGGTTAGTAATTAATGAATTTCTCTAAAGAAGTTGCTGTAACTTCGCTCTGCTCCTCCTGACAGAACTGCTGGAGTCAGGATCGTAGCTCTGCCCATAAACTTTCTATTGGATCAAGATCATAGCTTTGCAATGACTACCCCAAAACCTTGACTTTGTTGTCCTTAGGCCATTGTTCTGCAGCTTTGGAAGTACGCTTGAGGTCATTGTTTATTTGAAAGACCCTCTAGCAACTGAGCTTTGACTTCCTGGCTGGGCTCTTCAGATGTTACTTGAATATATCCACATAGCTTTCCTTCCACAGGATGCCACGTATTTTGTGAAGTTGCACTAAACCCTCCTGCAGCAAAAACAAATCCCCACAACATCATGATGCTTCCACCACTGTGCTTCACTGTTGGGATGTTGTTCTTTGGATTGCAGGCTTCCACCAGTTTTCTCTAATCGAGCCAGACAGTTCGGTTTTTGTTTCATCAGGACATTTCTCCAACAAGTAAGGTCTTTGCCCTCATATGTCGTTGCACAAATTGTTTAAAGCTCAGTCACCTTAGTGCATGCAAACCTCTCACCGACTGCATTTATGATGTAGTGATAGGAACATGAAATAATTACTTGTGTCATGCATAAAGTAGATGTTCTGAACTACATGCCACAGCTATAATGTGGTTAAAAAAAAGAGTTGTACTGACTTGAAGTGTATGGGAATTTCTGACTTCAATTGTATCTTATCTTACTTTGAACAAGTTTTTTTCTTTGTTTTTATCTCTAGATGTTTGAGTTATTTGTGTTTCAAGGTGTAAAGGGCATTATAAATGTATTATAAGTTGACTCTTGTAACACTGACAAGTTGCACCATCATTTAGGAAACAAATGAAGGATTTTTCCTCCAATTTAAGAAAAAAAACAAAAAAACAGGAGCGATGTGAAGATTTTCATGCGTAACAATGATCTGTGTTTGTTGTGAGTCGCTGCAATAAGAAAAGTTTTATCAGTTGAAAAGACACAGATACTCACAAATGTCCAAGAAGTCGTTTCCGTAGTCGCGCTTCACGTCCTCAGGTAGTCTGTCCCAGAGCTTCTTCACGTTACCCTTCAGCAACACCAGATCGGTCACGTTTGTTTTGAAGAACCCAGGCTCAATGCAGGCTACCTTGACTCCAAATGGCGCCATGTTTATCCTGAAACACAAAAGGAGTTGCTATTATTAAAGACGACATGAGAACAGTGGCGTGTCCACGTGATAAAAAAGTTACACCTCCTACCGCAGACTGTCACTGAAGGCCTCCACTCCGTACTTGGACACACAGTACGGTCCGCCGAACGGGCTGATGCGCCCGAACACGCTGGAGACGTTGATCACTCTGCCTTCAGCCTGCTTGATGAGGGGGAGGACGCTCAGCGTCACGTCGACCACGCCGAGCAGATTGACTGCCAGCATAGACTTGTAGTCTTCTATGACGAGCCAGTCGGTGGGACCGGACGGAACAGAGACTCCAGCGTTGTTCACAACAGCCCACAGGCCTGGAGCAACACAACAACAACATGATGGCACTTTGTGAAATCACAGTTTAAATTACTTTTTATACCATTCTCATGCCAATTTGCTAAACATGAAGCTACGGTCGGTTTAGAACTCTGCAACCAATAAGTGGAGCAGCTGTACTGACTCTCACCCCTAAATCTGACGACAAGCACCTCTAAATTGACAAATAACACAATATGTCTTGTTGTTACGGCCCATGGTTTTGGACATGTGGACTTGTGATTACTGTGTGGGAAGATGGTCTGTGAAGGCCCAGCTGAAGACGGTGCTCCAGAACCACACCTCCCTGCCAGACATCAGTGATGACTGACCATCTCTCAGCCTTGTTCTTCCCGCCTCCAGTCACATCTGATTGGACCACCACTCCTCCTCCTACCTCAGCAATCACCACACCTGGCTATAAAACCAGCAAGCAACCGTTCAGTCGGGGATGGCTGGGATTTAGTGTGAACAGTCCTCCCTGGTGCCTCTTGGTTTGTGTCTTTGTGTTTGTGGTCATGTGACTCCCGTTAGCAGCTGCTAACTCGAAACATCTCGAGAGAGTCTTAGTGAAGACTGACTCCCGTTAGCAGCTGCCCAACTTCGTGAAGAAACTACTCGTGTGTTATTGTGTGTTTTGAGGCACTAGTTTGTTTTAGTTACTTTTGTTAAGTGTGGATGTTGGTATTAGATTTAAAGTTTGGCTAAGGACTTTAGTTTAGTTTAGTTTGCCAGCTTTCGACATTCTCTCAGCCTTCGTTTGGTTCTTTGGATTTCAAGCAACATCCACCATCTTCTTTTGTACTGTCACCGTTCTGTTACGTTCATTCACATTACTGAGCAATAAGTTGCGTTACCTGAACCACTTCCATCTGTTTTTTGTTACGTCCAGCTGACCCTAGAGGCTGGATCGTTTTGAGCAACTGATAAATTAAAAAGTAAAAACAGAAGTCTATCACATGCTGCTCAGTTCAACTCCCACACATCGTCTTTCTTGCAGAGACACGTGCAGCACCCTCATAAATTTTTGTACCTGGGGACATACCATCTTCAAACAAGGAGTGGCAGCGACTACACCACTAATGAACAATGTCCTCATACCATAGAGAGATATGAAATACCAAACATTCCACCAAATAACCCTTTGCAAAGAGACCTGGCGTTACAAGTTGCAGATGTAGGTCAGCCAGCATGAACCCGCGTGGAGCCGCTCACCTTTCTGTCCAACGAGAGCCTTGATGCTCGCCGTTGCTTTCTTGACGCTGTCCGAGTCGGTGACGTCCACGTGGACGGTCGTCAGCCTGTCAGAGGTGACCTTCTTCAGCTCGTCCTCGCCTTTCTCCGTGTAACAGCCCGCGATCACACGGAAGCCCAGTTTGTCCAGGTGTTTGGCCAGGAGGTTACCGAACCCCGAGTCACAGCCTGTGATGTACACATATTTGTCTCCCTTGTCGGAGACTCTTTCTAACTCTCTGTACCAGCGAAAGATGAACCAAACCACCACCAGCCCGAGGAGATACAGGAACATGATTCTAAGGGCGAGAAGAAGAAGACACCACGTTAATGTAAAGTTGGCTCCTTCTGACTGCTGCACAACATTGGTAATATATATTGTTATCTATATATATTGTCATCTCCACAGCTGAGTGTGAGCGTGGCTTCAGTCACATGGACATTTTAACCACAACAAGAAGCTTCCTAGAAGTAAAAAGCATGTCAGCCTTGCTTTTCATCAAGTGTGTTGGCCCTCCATTGAAAATGTTCAAACCAGATGTGTATGTCAGGTCTTGGCTTCAACGCCATTGTCTAGCTGATGATCCAAAAGCAAGAGCCTGGAAAATATACTACAAAAAACATGATTAGGAAAATCTTTGGAAACTTCTGTGAATTAGGGGAGAACTGGGTCGGCAGCTATTGGAAAAAAACTGATTAGTTATCCATTTTACTTTTCCTATTTTGTCTTTTGAGGCTAGCCACCTCAAGTTTAAAACATCTCAGGTGTTGGTGTATTTGTGTAAATTTTTGATATTAATTTTCAAATTTTGTAAATTGTTTCAACTAGTTCATTATTTTTTTTTTGCATTTGAATTAAAATGAACTTGACCTGACTTGAGAGGATTCAGAGTTTCATTTGCAGTTTTTGTGCGGTTTTGTTTCACACTTCAGTAGATGAATTACCAAATGACCTCAAAGTACCCTGAGTGTGAACTTGCCCTTGAACCCAGTAAGAAAAGCGGTCCTCTGCATTTAGCTCTTACTGCATAGGAGCAGTGATAGCCATGCCAGCCTGGGGACTGACTCCAATTCTGAGGTATTTTGTTTAAGATCAATTTCAGGAGAATCAAGATTCATGTCATATATGTTGTTTTAGGATAGTCAAATAACTATCTTTGAGCTTTAACAGAAATAAAAAGGGTACATAGTTTGTTTCACATCATATGCAGTCATCAGGGCAAAATATCCATACCAAAAAAATAAAACCCACCATCCCCCCTGACATTTTTTTTTTACAGCTCGACTACTGCTTACAAACTAGTGTGTTAATAGGAAGAATCTGAGTTTGTGTGATGTATATGAATACTGTTACAGAAACAGACAAGTTAACAGATCACACCCCAGTTTTTTTCCAGTGCACGGTAACACAACGTGAACTAAAACCACAGAAAAAGCTGTGCAGGAGAATAAAATTGGGTGAGAAAGACACGGGGGGAATTTTATCTGAATATCTAAATAAAATGTGAATTTTACATGACTGTGGGACAACCAGCTCATCTGAGCAGGTAAACCAGTGTCTCAGTGAAACTTAAATGATTAATCACTAAACAGAACTGGTGCCAGTTATATAACGTCTCTGCTCTTACACAATTTTTTTGCTCTAAAATGACAAATGGCTTGACAAAACTACCACACAAATGAATGTGTAGTTGTAACAAGTGATCAGATCATTTGCTGGATTAATTGAACTTCCAGTGTTTGCACAGAAATATAAAATCATGCAAGCGCATAAAGCAAACAGATGGTCATTTCATTGCAAGAGAATTAAAAAGCCAGAAAGCCTTACAGTATATACAGGTTACAAACCCACAATGCTCTGAGGCCATGAGAATCCTAAACAGTGACATCTTCAAATTACTTGTCAAACACTCACAGACTGTAAAGTTTCCTCTGAGGCCAAGAAAAGTAGCACAAGTCAGAAGCTGGTTCAGTGCTTTCACTCAACGATGAACTCAAAGTGTTTCTCTGATCAGCTTTGCATCAAACTCATTCATTGATCAGTTTCTCGGTTTGTATTTAATGCGACTTCCTGCAGCCACGTATGAATGAAGCCTGAAGGGAAAACGCAAGATCGTAAAAAAGGCATGCAGTCAGTCGGTTATCGGTTACATAATCAGACTACTTTTATGTAAAAACAAGACATGAGAAGACAGACTGGATCAAAGTTAAACCGTACCTCCGTGCAGATGATTATAAACCCACTTGTGTGTGTTTCCTGCGGTCAGAGCAGGATTCAGAGCTGTCGGGCGTCAACCTCCGAGATGGTTGTGCAGATATCTGAAAACTTTATTTGTCTACTCCTGTACTGCATCTGATTACACTTCACCTTAACTTCCGGGGTTTCCTGTTTCGAACCTGTTTTTTTCCTGCTCGTCAACGTAGATGAGCAGCGAAGCGCGCCATCTGCTGGACAGAACATGTAATGGCGGACAGACGCATTCATTCATATACTGAGCAAAAAAAAAAATGTATTCTGAATTTAGTCATTTCAGTGCCTCTGCTTCCAACTTGGTAAACATTAAATTCCTTACTACAATAAATGGAAGAGAAAAAAAATCAAAAAAATAATCAAACACCGAGCTTTTGACTCCATCTCAAACAGTACAGTCGTCCTCAAATGTATTCTTCCATTTAAAAAAAGGGCAAAATTCACAATAGTCACTCAAATAACTAGAAAATGAAAATAATAATAATAAATAAAAATTTGCTAAATTAAAATTTAGTGAAATAAGACATTGCTTTTTAATTGTAAAGAAAAGGTGAAAAGAATAATTAAAAAAAATAAAAAATATCCCAGACAAATTAGAGCACTATGCTGATGAGCAGTGGGCCAAAATCTTTTTCAATATTTCTGTTGAACCACAATTCAAAAGCAATGTCATGACTTCATAATTTTTTTTATTATTACTTCTGTCAATTCCATCTTTCAGTGACAGCTGTTTTATTCCTTCTTTAATGGGACTGTATGAATACATTTGAGGACGACTGTGTGTACTCTCTGTAAAAGATTAACATTAAAAAAAAAATCAGAGAGAAAGGCAAATATTTAGTGCAATAAATTATGCAAACAGAGATAAATCAGCTCACCTCTAGTAAACCTGCTGCAGTTATTGCCAACTTATTTCAGTGACAGCTGTTTTTTTACTTCTTTAATGGGACAGTATGAATACGTTTGAGGACGACTGTATGTTCTGCAAACAGTGTTTTACAGATGCTACGGTCAAAATGTGACATCTTATATTCCGGTATATATGTATATATTAAAAGCGGCAGCGAAATTAAAAAGATAGGTAATGTCAACATTTTAACGTCTTCAAACAATTGTACAATGAAAGTACAACAACACAATGAAAAACTTGTGAACCACTGAAAAGTATTTAGCATTAGCATAGCAGAGCT